TATGGTCCATGGCTCCCAGGACCCTCTAGCTTGCCCTGAGGACCAGCTTCATCTTTGGTTCCCACCTCTTTTTTTTTTTTTTTTTGGCTTATAACCACTAATGAGCATTTTTATTTATTTATTTATTTAAAGATTTTATTGAGGAATTGGGAGAAGGGAACAGCGTTGGGGAATCAGGGAAGGGGAACAGACAAGTTGCTGTCCTTTTGTTCTTCAGTCTAGTTGTGGAGGACGTCGCTTCACTGGCCCATGTTGGTATTGTGATCATTGCGCTCTTCCCGGGTGAGGCAGTCGCTTGCCGGCCATTGGATGGCTGCTCACACCAGCCGCCGGCTGCTTATGCCAGCTGCCCCCACCTCCTTTCATTGCATCTCTACTGCATCCTTCAGTTCCCTGAAGATGACATGTTCTCCAGGCCTTTGAAATGCTGTTCCCTTTGTTTGGAACATTTTTCTGTTCATGAAACACAGTTCACCCCTCCCACCCCATTCTCTGGCTAATCTCCAAATCATCTTTTAGGATGTCAAGCAGAAAACCACAGGCCCAAAATGGCATCACTCCTGCTGAAAGCTCATGACACCAAATGTAGAGTTAATACCTGATTCTAATTGCAGTTTCAACCTCTCCCAGAAGCATAATCTTAATCAGTCTGGAATTTTCTGATCAACATTAGTAAGGTAATCTGCCTGATAAGACTCCCTTTCTCCCCCTAAAGGAAGGTGTCCTTGCCTGAAATAATCCACTTTTTAATTTTTTAGTCTCACCCTCTTTCTGCCTATAAAAAAACTTTCATTTTGTACAACTCATGGGAATGTCCTTCTAGTTCCTAGATGCGATACTGCCTGATTTATGATTTGTTTAAGAAAGCCAATCAGATCTTCAAATTTACTTGGTTGTATTGGGTTGTCGGAAAAGTCATGATGTATTTTGTCTATGTTTTTCAAAGGTCATTATTTATGTAAAGAACAAACATCAATCAATGATATATTGCCCGTTTTGTTTGATAACCTTGTGCCATCTCTCAGTGAGCTTCATAATTCCTCGTTCATAGAAGGACCTGTCTTTATTTGTGAAAAACTGAACAAGATGCTGATTTACAGCCTCATCTGAATTAAACATTATACTATGCAAGGAATTCTGAAGTGAGCGAAACAAGTGGAAGTCTGCCGGTGCAAGGTCAGGCGAGTACGGTGGGTGTGGCAACACATCCCATCCAATCTCCAATAATTTTTGATGGGTGATCAAACTTGTGCGCGGTCTCGCATTGTCGCGATGGAACACAACTCCTTTACAATTAACAAGCTCTGGACATTTCTGGATGATGGATTCGTTCAAACTGTCGAATTGCCGATAGTATACATTCAAATTGATAGTTTGGTTTTTTGGCAGGAGCTAAAAAAAACACGGCACCTTTAAAATCCCACCACACTGAGAGCATAACCTTCCTCTGATGAATGTCTGCTTTCGCTATCATTTGAGGCGAATCATCACATCGGGACCAAAACTGTGCACCACATTGTTGTAAACAATCCACTTCTCATCACCAATTATCAGTCACTTCAAAAAAGGATCGTTTTCCTCACATTAATGAGCATATTGCAGATGTTTATACACGTCGTCAAATGAACTTCTTTGAGATCATGCGGAACCCAAATATCTAGCTTGCTTACGTATTCCAGCTTCTTCAGGTGGTCATGAATGCTTGAGTGATGGATGTTCAATGTTTCTGCAATCTCTCTTGTCGTGTAACATGGGTTTGACTTGATCATTGTCTTTATTTTGTCATCATCAACCTCGGTGGGCCTCCCTGATGGAGGAGCATCGTTGAGATCAAAATCACCAGCATGGAATTTCGTGAACCATCGTTGGCACTGACGTTCTCGTAGAGCATTGTCACCATAAACTTTATGCAACTTTTCACAAGCTTGACGTGCGTTCTTCCCTTTATGGAAGTAAAATAGTAAAATATGGCAAAAATGTACAGTTTGGTCTTCCATCTTCAACTTGTTGTAAAATCTCCAAAACTCAACCAAATCGCTCAATTTTTTTTAGAATGAAGCTAGCACTGTCAGCTGTCAAATGACATTGCAATAACATAGATGCGAATGATTCTAGCACTTCCAAAAATGAACTAGTGCCATCTGTCGCAAACGTGTCATGACTTTTCCGGCAACCTAATATTTTGTTTTTTAAATAAGGTCTTGGCTTAGAATCACTGTATTTATGCCTGTCTCCTTCCATCGGCACCAAGCTCTTTCATTCTCACAATAGTTTTACTTTCATAGCACGTAGTCATTCATTCATTTATTTGACAAATATTTATTTAGTGCCAACTACATGTTCTAGGCTTATCTGTATTGTCACTGCCAGCTTCAATACCATATACATATATTTGCACTGTAATTCATATACCATAAATTGACCCTTTGAAGTGTATAATTCAGTGCTTTTTAGTATATTCACAAGGTTGCACAACCATCGCTATTATCTAATTCCAGAATATTTTCACCACTCCAAAAAAGAAATCCATTAGCAGTCTTTCTCCATTCTCCCCTACCCCAGGTCCTGGCAACCATTAACCTTTCTAGCTCAGTGGATTTGCCTATTCTGCACATTTCATATAACTGGAATCACACAATATGTGGTCTTTAGTGTTTGGCTTCTTTTACTTAGTATAATGTTTTCAAGGTTCATCCATGTTGTAGCACATATCAGCACTTAATTTCTTTTTATGGCTGAATAATAATAGCCCATTGTATGGATAGACCATATTTGCTTTATCCATTCATCAGCTAATGAACATTTTGGTTGTTTCCACTTTTTAGCTGTTTTGAATAATGCTGCTGTAACCATTCATGTACAAGTTTTTCTGTGGACATATATTTTCATTTCTTTTGGAAATATACCTAGGAGTGGAATTGCTGGGTAATATGATAACTCTGTTTAATTTTTTTGAGGAACTGCCAGACTTTTCCACAGCGGGTGTACCATTTTACATTCCCACCTGCAAGGTATAAGGGTTCTGATTTCTGCACATCTTAGTAACACTTTTTATTGTTCTCGATTTAGCCATCGTAGTGGGTATGAAGCAGTTCTTCTGAAGCTCTATGAGAACACAGATTCCATTTGTCTGGCTCACCACTGTGTTCCAGAACCTAGTACAGTGCCTGGCATTTATTGGATAGTTGTATTTTGTTCAATACACTAAAAAAAGTGTTGAATGAATAGGTAAATCAAAAGCTAGTTAGATGGTTACAATACTTATTGATTGTGTATTTATCTTCCCAATAGAGATCTATCAAGAGACCTGGTATTCTTTTTTCTGCACAGTACTGAGCCACCCCTCTTCTGTTACCATAGTCATTCTTCAGGAAGAAAGTTGGGTTAAATTTAAACTTTCTTGTTTTTCTTCAGATCACTCATTTGGATCTTAGGTGTGCACAAATTCCTCAGTTAGGCACTTACAGATAATTTCTTGGGTATTGGAACATTTTGGTTTTTCCTATATTCATTTCTCCTACAGAATACCTCCTTTTCCTTTTTGCTCACTCCCAAGCACTTCACACTTGCAAATAGCCTTCTTCCTGTTTTTTTTTCCAAGCTAGTCTACTGGGACAATCAATACCTCTGACAGACTAGCCCTTTTTTTGTTTTGTTTTGTTTACTTTTAATATTGTACACCCTTGTCAACATAAGAAATGTCCAAACCTGTAGAGAATTTTTCCAAGAGTTAATTCGAGCCAAACTGACAATTGTCGGGAAGGAAGTTCTCAAATGCTCCAGACAAATGGCAGTTTTGCGACTTTTTTTATACATTTGGAATTAAGGGGGGAACATAGGAAGATTACATAAAGGTGGGAGAGAGCAAAGTACAGCATAGTTAACAAGTTATATGCTCCCTTGTTGTGTGCTCCCTTCAAGGGGTCTGAAAAAGAATATTTCAAAGGTGTCATAATGTAGATGCACAGAAACAATTGGACAAGACTTGCTTAAGGAAAAGATAAACCATTTACTAAAAAATTATATTCTTGGGGTGTGACTACCCACCATAACTTGCCCATTTAAGAATTTATGATCAGATCACCCTGTGAGGTTACTTTTTATTAGATGTATTACAGCGCCCCTTTTTTGTCCACACTGCTTTTGGCTCCTTGATTTGGAAGCCAGTTAGGCCAGGGACTGGGCGATGCTCATAGCCAGCACTCAGTTCTTGAAAAATAGTGAATGAATGAATGAATGAGAATATGTGAGAGGGACATATTGCAAAAAGTAGATTTGGTCAACAAATATTTGAGTACTCACTGTGTCACACGTCCGGTAGTGCATGCCAGGATAAAAGGTAAACTAAGCAGGGGACTCACCTTGAATTAGGGTGTTTCTAAAATCACTAGTTCTAGCTGTATTATTCCATTTCCATGTTCATATCTTTTTACCTTTTATGGTACAACTAATGCTTTTCAGGATCACATTTTAGCTAAGGTATCTACTTATTCACTTAAACCCCTAATAGGAAGTTCTGATCTATTGTCAGCAAAATTCGAAATCAAAAGTGCCCCAGTGCACTGACTGTTCACCCCTAAACAGCTAAAAGTCCCCCAAATGCTAAGCTTCCTGATCTTAGGGGTCCTTGGATGGGGAATCTCAGAAAGAACGGACAGCGCGTCCACCAGAGGGTGCTGTAGGGGCAAATTTGCGTTGGGAGCTGAGCTTGACTAGTGACCCTCAGAGCCAGGTAGGCATTTTGAGAAATCTTCAGCCTTTCTTGTGTTTCCTTCCCACCCATTTGGGCCATAGCCGCCCCTCCCCCATAGGTGGTTCCCCCAGAATTATTAGCCACCCTGAGAGACTTAAAGAGTGCTTGCTTTGAAAAACGCGTTGCTTCTGTTCGTGATACCCTGAGCCTCAGGCCACTCAGGTCACAGGGCCGCGGGGGCTGTGTAGGTGGGGGCCTCCAGGGCGTCAGCAGCTGGCCGCAGGGGCCGCGAAGGGGTTAAGCTGGCGGGGTCGGTGGCGGCTGGTGCGAGAGCGCGACGCGACGCGACCACGGTTTCCTGAGCTCGGCCTGGCCGCCCAGCGCTGCAGCTCGCCCGAGGCCTGAAGGGGTCCGGGCCGCCGTCCATGGTCGTGGCGTCCTGAGGCGGGGGACGCGCCCGGCGCCCCCAGCCCTCCTCCGCTTCCTCCTGTCGGGCGGGCGGCCTCCTTCGGCGCCTCCTCGCGCTCGCTTGCCGCCCCCCTCCCTCCTTCCCTGCGGCTCCCCCGGCTTTCGGGAGCCCGGGGGCGGCCTGTGGCGCGCCGAGCCCGCGCCGGACTGCGCCTCTTTGGACCTTGAGGGGAAACATGCGTGTGGCTTGGATCGTTTTAAATTCTTAGTTTGGGATCCCCGCCCGCCTTCCTCTTCCGCCCCGCGGATTTTCTTTTCTTTTTCCCCCTTTTTTCCTCTCCCGGTCTCCTTTTTGACTCCCTCCCCCTTTATGCTCGCCCAGCCCTCCACCCGCTGCTGAGAAGTGGGGGAGGGTCTCGGCCTCCAGGTTCCCGCCCCACCGGGGCCCGGGCGAGCATGGGGGGCAAGCAAAGCACGGCGGCCCGTTCCCGGGGCCCCTTCTCGGGGGTCTCCACCGATGACAGCGCCGTGCCTCCGCCGGGAGGGGCGCCCCACTTTGGGCACTACCGGGCGGGTGGCGGGGCCATGGGGCTGCGCAGCCGCTCGGTCAGCTCAGTGGCGGGCATGGGCATGGACCCCAGCACGGCCGGAGGGGTACCCTTTGGCCTCTACACCCCCGCCTCCCGGGGGACCGGCGACTCCGAGAGGGCGCCGGGCGGCGGAGGGTCCGCGTCTGAGTCCACCTATGCCCATGGCAATGGTTACCAGGAGACGGGCGGCGGTCACCATAGAGACGGGATGCTGTACCTGGGCTCCCGAGCCTCGCTGGCGGATGCTCTACCTCTGCACATCGCACCCAGGTGGTTCAGCTCGCACAGTGGTGAGTCCGCGGGTGGTGGAGGCCTCGGAGGGTGGAGTGCAAGGGAGGGCGCACTTGGGCGCTCAAACCTTGGCGCGCGTGTTAAGGTTTGGATGTGGAGTGCACGACCTGGATCTGTCTGCCTTCCTTGGGTTCCCCAAGTCAGGGGAAGATAGGGATACCGACCCCCCAGAAAAGAGGCTTTCTGCGAGGCTGCGGAGCCGGGCATTTTAAGACTTCAGGCGTTGGTTCACTTGTGGAGAGTGAAACCTGCTTATTGAAGTCCCACTTATTGGCATTACCATCTTCAGAGAAGAAATCTGGCCTGGCTTATAGCAGGTCGGCCTTGGTGCTTCCTTTCTGTCACTGCAGCATTGTGCCTACTTCACCTTTACAGAGAGGAGATCCAATTTGACCAAGCGGTTGTCTCCCAAACAAAGAGTGTGAAAAGAAATAAAATTGGGGGCAAGTGGTGGTTGGATTAGGGCTCACACTCTTGCTGGGAGAGAGGGGTGCTCAATTTTGCCACCCTGCTGGAGAGATGTTTGAATTGTTGAAAATGGAGCAGCCAGCAGGCTGTTGTTATAGACAGGTGTGGCCTGCTGATGAAGGGCCCAGCCAGGGAGCCTCCCTCCAAGGCTTTGCAAGACTAGGGTTCTGGTTGCCCGTGCTGCATGCAGTAAGCTTGGCTCAGTGACTCTCACATCCCTCCATCTTTTTTCTTCCTCTTCATGCTGAGCTTGGTCTTCCTGGTAATTTGCATCTTTTTTTTTGTGAGGGAGAGGTGGGATTGTATTGCCAGGCTGTTGGTACTTGACAGGGGAAGAGGAGGATTCAAAGGATGGGGAGGAATTCACGTTGTGAACTTCTGGTGACAGGCCAGCAAAAAGCTGGAGGAGGATTTCCCAGGCTCTTGACTGGCAGGAGCTCCTGGAGGAAAACAGGTCTGTCTGCTCAGCTAACCCTAGAGGCCAGGTTAAGCTTCTGGAAAATTGGTCAAAAGGGGTGTGGGGCCACTATTTACTAATTGGCTTTTATTTCTGGAAATAGTCTGGATTTGTTTTCAATCCTATCAACTTTAATTTGTGAAATAATTATTTTTGGGGAGGAGGGGAATAAGTGACTGATTTCAGGTAACACTTGAAAGTGGCTTTTGAATTGCCAGGGTGGTATTTTAATCCCTAAACAAGCCTCTGGATATCATTGGAGAGTCTCTGACCTGCACCAGACTCTGCCCTGAATGAGATGCAAGGCATGACTGCCTTTGGCACTTTTAGACATTTGATCAGCTTTAGTCATTTTGAAATTAATAATCTTTTTTATGAAATTTGGTCTAGAAAGAGTCAGCTAAATTTGTGAGATGATTGTGGTTAAATTTTTGAAAGAACTGCCATTAGTATCTGATTTTAACTGAAAAGCACTATGAGAGGGTTCTCTAAAATCACAGAATTTTGTGTGTTGCAAGATAAATATAATCCTATAGAGGCTTGTCTGGGAAGGAGTTTCCGGTTTGCTAAAATTTCTTGCCTGTCTCTTACTAGAAACTTCTTTTTCCTTATTCTACCACCAGGCTTCATGCTGGAGTTGTGATCTTACAATTTAATTCCAAAATTTCAGATTCTGCAGCTGTGAAGCCATAGTTTAAATTTTTTTTTTCTTCATCCAGTTATGGTGAGGGTAGGAAGTGTGCTATTAAGGTAACAGGTGACTGACTGGAGAGATTAACAGGAGGGAGCCAATAGCACTTAATAGCCACTGAATCATGGGAATACAGGAAAAGTTGGAGAATATTAATCCCTTAAGGGATTATTAATATTAAAGCATGTGTTGGGGGCTGCTATTAATATTTTGAGTAATAACTTTTTTTAAAAAGATTTTATTAGGGAATTGGGGGAGGGGAACAGCGTTGGGGAATCCAGGAAAGAGAACAGACAAGTGCTGTCCTTTTGTTCTTCAGTCTAGTTGTGGAGGACGTCGCTTCACTGGCCCATGTTGGTATTGTGATCATTGCGCTCTTCTTGGCTGAGGCAGTCTCTCCCTTGCCATTGGACGGCTGCTTACAGTAGCTTACGACAGCTCACGGCAGCTCACGGCAGCCCACTGCCACCTATGCGGTCGCCAGCGGCTCATGGCAGCCCAGCTCCAGGTCAAGCTGTTATTCACCATCTTAGCAGTAGAGGGCGCAGCATCACTGGCCCTCATGTGGGATCTGAACTGGGGCCCTGCTGCTCAGAGCTGGCGTCCCAAGCCAATTCTTAACCAACACGCCCCTTGGCCAGCCTGGTAATAACATTCTGTATAGGACCATCCTGTCCTTTTACAATACATTGAGTGTACCTGGCCCTCACCACTAAATGCCCTTACAAATTTGTGAATGCTCTTGGTGGGGGAGGGGGATACCCCCTTGATTGAGAACTACTGCTTTAAGAATTTGTTCTTTTATTCAGTTAAAGTACAGTAAAGCCTTGGATTGCGAGTAACTTGGTTTGCGAGTGTTCTGCAAGACGAGCAAACATTTCTAATACATTTTAACGTGATAAACGAGCAATGTCTTGCAATACAAGTAGTTTGTTTCTGGAACGAATTATGCTTGCAAACCAAGGTATTACTGTAATTAGTTTTTCCTATGCAGTTCATTTGAGATGAACTTTCATATTTCTGCTCTTCTGCAGTGGTGGGTCTGTCTACCTTTCTGAACAGGCCAAGGGATCTTCCTCCCAGAACAACCCTTCCCTCTCTTATTCATTGCTATAAGAAGAGAAACTCATTTTTCTATGTTGGAGCCTTTGAGTAAGGTCTGAACAGTTTTTGCTCTTGTGTTGTGAAAGTAGAAAGATAAGGATTTTGGTGCACAGTTGACTAGATAGATGCCTGGAAGTTGATGCCATGCTCTTGCTTGTGTTTTCCAGGTGCTTTGGAACTCTTCATGGGAACAGAAAATAGTTGTCAGTGAAATAAATGAGGGAGTTCAGTGTGCAGGAGGCTTCCTTAAAGGGAGTGAGTTGATGTATCAGGAGGTAGAATCCTGGGGTCCCAGCTCTTTCTATAAGTATCTGTGACCTTGGGCGAGACACATCTCCTCTCTTGAGCCTCATCTTTGTTATTTTAAAAATAGATGTGTAATCCTCGGCAGCCAGCCTGTAAAGGTTGTTTCCCAAATCCTATGAGGATACACAGCAGTCACATTTGTCTTCTCTTGGTTCCTACACTTTCTTGGTCTGTGACCCTCTCATGCCCTGTTCCCTATGCCTGGAATGCTTTTCCTTTTATTCTGTACATGTATAACTCTTTCTGATCCTTTAGGGTTCAACTTAAATTTCTCCTCAGAGTCCACTCTTAAGACTGTCTCCCTCCGATTAATTTCTCCAGTCACTCACCTGTTAACCTTAATAGCACTTATACTTTATAAATATTTTATTTTATTTTATTTATTATTTTTAAAGATTTTATTGGGGAATCGGGGAATAGGAACAGACAAGTTGCTGCCTTTCTGTTCTTCAGTCTAGTTGTGGAAGACGTTGCTTCACTGGCCCATGTTGGTATTATCATTGCGCTCTTTCCGGGTGAGGCAGATCGGTCACCGGCCCCTGGACGGCCACTCACAGTGGCTCTTGGCAGCTCACGCTGGCTGCCAGCCACTCATGCTGGCTGCCAGCCACTCGTGGTAGCTCACGGCAGCCCACTGCAGCAGGGGCTGCAGCCTACGCTGTCGCTGGCGACTCATGGCAGCCCAGCTCCAAGTCGAGCTGTTGTTCACCATCTTAGCTGTAGAGGGTGCAGCGTCACTGGCCCTCATGTGGGATCCGAACCGGGACCCTGCTGCTCAGAGCTGGTGTCCCAAGCCAATTCTTACACAACACGCCACTCGGCCGGCCATATAAGTATTTTATTTATCTGCTTACTTTTTCTGTTTAGTTTGAGTAAATTTTGAGCTCCATGAGTGCAGGATTGTGCCTCATGATCATTATTATAACCCTTGCATTGTGTGTGCCTGGCACAAATACTTGTTGGGTGAATGAATTTGATTGTCTTGTGTCCATCGTCTAATCATCATAACTCTATGAGGTAAGACTTTTTATTCTCATTTTACAGGTGAGGAAACTGAGGTTTAGAGGGAGGTTAAGGAACCTACACAGGTCAGATAGCTAATAGGTTGTGGAGCTGGGATTGGAATGCAGGTCGACAAGCGGCAGAACCTGGGCTCTTAACCATTACACTATTCTACTACCTCTCATCCTAAAACATCAGGAAGCTTGCTAAGATCCTGGAAATTGCACTAGCCTGTGAGTCAGAGGACTAGGCTCATCTCCTAGTTGGGCTACTAATTAACTACCTGATTTGTAGCCTTGGGCAAGTGAGTCATTTAGCCTGAGTCACCTTTTTTTTTTTTTTACCTATATGATGGAGATAGTACCTGTCCTGCTTATCTTGCTGGGTCTCCTGAGATAGTGTTTAGAAAAGCCAAATAACATACAAATGGAAAGTGGTGTTCCTATAGAGACACTTTTCCTGTAGTTCTCTGCATTCTTTCATCTCCTTAGAATTAGCTGGGCAGAGAGATTTAGAACTGTGAACTATTTCCCCAAAATGGAAGGTAGTGCTCTCTACTGAAATCTGACCTACACTGATGGACCAGTAGTAATAATGAATGCCATTGAGAAGAGCTGCTTTATAGGATCGGAGTTAGAGCGTCCCTTTTTATATTAAAATGCAAGTTTTGCTGTAAGGTGTTTAACTCCTAATAGTATCCTTTTTATCTCAGAATATGGATTTCTAGATGTAGGGAAGAAGCAGAAGATCTACCTGTTGGAAGGAAGAGGTTGCCTGTATTCTGGGTCCTACTAAAAAGTGGCTGGTCATTGAGGGTTTCACTCCAATTCGTTAGTCATATGTGTGTATACACGTGCATATTCAGAAAAATCTAAACTGTTCTCTGTTGTCACCAAGGTATCAACTGGGGCAGATAAAATGTGACTTTTCATAAGTCTTTAAACATGCTAGCAGGCTATCTCATGGGTTCT